GAGGTTTCTCCACTTCCTTAGTGCCTTCTCCTTCTGCTTCAGCTAATTCGTCTTCCACAGTATCGTCTATCTTCCTTTTCTTCCTCTTTGTTTCATCAGTTTTCTCGATTGACCCACCATTCTCAACGTCACCCTCCACTACCTTCTCTACGGGTTCGTTTTCTCTTACCAAAGTTTCGATTTTTCTTCGTTTCTCTCTCTTTGACAATCTGGGTTTGTGGCTGGCTGAATCAAGGAGCTCTTTCAGAGACTGAGATTGCAAGTTCGATACGGAATCTGCGTTGGTTTCAGCTACTGAGACCGATAGAGATTTAACCACATCTTCTCGAATCTTCTGCTTCAGCTTCTTGTTCGAAAGCACCATCTTCACTGATTCATCAAAGTGAGAGAGATAAAAAAACCGAAACCTTTAAGTCTAGACTACCATAAACCCTAATCGTTGATTTTGATACGATACGAACTTAATTTGGGCTCGTTTGGGCTTCAGCTATTTAGTGGCCTTTTTTTTTTAAAAGAGTATAAAAATGTTTAATCTACCTTATTTGTTCATTTTAACCACATCTTTAAAAAACCCTAATTGTGAAATTTTAACCCTAAGTCCAAGAGAGAAGGTAACGGAGGGGACAAAACCGCCGGAAATTGCGCCGGCCATGGATCGAGCACCATGGTTTAGGGCCTCGGAGAAGGAGACGGCTGTAGCAAATGGGTGTATGACCAGAATCGGAAATGGGAGAAGACAGAAAAGGCTAAAATCCGATCGACAATGGTGGTCCCAATGGCGACAGAGGCGGAGTTGCGGCGGTCCGAGATGATTTCGATCGTACAAACCCAGGAGGTGGCAGAGCCAATCCTGTCGAAAATAACCATGGCCGAGGTTGTGTTGGTGAATATGGGTCCTAAGACTGATGGGCTTCAGCTTCCTAAAGCCCAGGAAGGTTTACCATTGGGCCTCAATATCAGATTGGATGCCCAAGAAGTGATTTCCCCTTCTAAAGAGATTATGTGGAGGCCCAAAAAAGAAAACATAGTGGACCACGTGGTGGACCCAGAAAATCTGCCAAAAGTGCCACGAACAATTGAACAAAGAATTAGCTAGGCTCTTGGGGTTAAGAAGAAGATCGAACACAGCCCATTCCGGAGCAGTCATATCTATAAACATGCGTCCTTAGCTAGAGAAGACCCCGTCACGAGAGTTTCATTTTTGAATGATGTTTCTCGTCCGTCATCTTCGAAGATGGGCCTAGGTGAGGGGCAAACTTCGAAGAAATTTAAAGATCTGGCGGTTAAAAGGAAATCAACGGCAGACGCTTAAATGATCCTAAGC